AGACCCCAAATCCTCCCACACTGGGACACCCCAAATTGCCTTCCCCACACAGAGACACCTTAAATCCACCTCCCCACACAGTGACACCTGTGAGACCCCAAATCCCCTTCCCCACCCAGTGACACCTGTGAGACCCCAAATCCCCCTTCCCACCCAGGGATCTGCACCCAGGTGGTGGGGGAGGAGGGTCAGCGCCCACCCAAGCACCCAGAGGGGGGATTTTAGGGGGTTTCACCTCATTTTGCAGCTTCTTTATTATTGGGATCCCCCCCAGTTTCCCCCTCTCCCAGCTGAGCCCTGTCACACTCACTGCTCTGGTGATATAAATTGGGAATTTTGGGAGTAATACTTAATTTCTCAAAAACAAAGTGGGAAGTTTAGGGTGTTTCACCTCATTTTGCAGTTTCTATTAACACTGGGACCCCCCACAGTCCATCCTGGCTCAGCCCCCTCCTGGCTGAGCCCTGTTGCACTCGCTACACTGGTGATGCTCCAGAGGAATGATCCAGGACTGGGAATTTTGGGACTAATGCCTCATTTCTCCTGAACAAGCGGGGGTTTTTAGGGTGTTTCACCTCTCTTTGCAGCTTCTTTATTATTGGGAACCCTCCAGAACCCCCCTCTCCCAGCTGAGCCCTGCCACACTCAGTGCACTCAAGGTTGACCATCCAGGAGTGGGAATTTTGGGGCCAAAACCTTATTTCTCCAACCCCGAATGGGGATTTTAGGTTATTTCACCTTATTTTGCAGCTTCCATTATTACTGGGATCATCCCTGCTCACCCCAGCCCAGCTGCCACACTCACTGCACTCAAGGTCGATGATTCAGGATTGGGAATTTCGGGGCCAAAACCTCATTCCTCAACCCAAAATGGGAATTTTTAGGGCATTCCCCTCATTTTTGGACCCTCCTGCCCCAGCCCACTGCTTTCCCAGCTGAGCCCTGCCACACTCACTGCACTGGTGATGCTCAAGGGTTGATAATCCAGGATGGGAAATTTTTTGGCCAAAACCTCATTTCGTTAACCCAGAGTTGGAACTTTGGGGTGTTTCCCATCGTTTCTGCAGCTTCCTTATTCCTGGGCCCCTCCCTGCTCCCCCCAGCCCGGCTGCCACACTCGCTGCGCTCAC